TGCCCCTGCCCCTGCCCCTGCACCGCTCCTGCCCCTGCCCCTGCCCCGCCCCTGCCCCCTGCACCGTCCCTTCCCCTGCACCGCTCCTGCCCCTGCAGTGGAGGGGGCTCTGTGCTACTCTGGGCCTACAGGCCTAATCCTGGTGGGCATGAAAGTGTCCTGAGGCTGCTGTGACAAATTTCTACAAGCTGAGTGACTTAAAGCAACACATTTGTTCTCTTACAGTTGTAGGGATGGATGTCTAAAAACAGGTCAGCCCAGCTGGTTCCTCCCAGAGGCTTGGAGGGGCTGAATCATTTTCCTGCCTTTTTCCATGTCTGGAGGGCACCTGCATCCCTTTGCTCATGGCCCCTTCCATCTTCACAGCCAGTAGTGCCAGGTCTTCCCATCTCTCCCTGACTCTGACCTCCTGCCTTTCTAAGGACCCCATGTGACGTTGGACCCACCTAGAGAATTTAGGGTCATCTCTGGTTTCAGGATCCTTACTTTAATTCCACCTGCAAGTCCCCTTTGCCAGGTAAGGTCACACATTCACACGGTCCAAGGATGAGGATGTGGAGCTCTTTGAGGGCCATGATTCAGCCCACGGCGTCTGGTGATAGGAATGGAGTGTGTCCTGCAGCGGGCGGGCCTGTCCCAAGTCCAGGGAAGCAGAGAGGTGAAGAAAGAAGCTGCCCAATCCGGTTTGTCAGGAAGAAACATTTAACAGGGACTTAGGAACAGAAGCCATGCCTGTGTCTGGGGCCCACCCCTCGCCCCCAAGCCCAGGCTTGTGTCCCATAGGTGAGAGGTCTGTGGTTCAGAAGGGATGTGCTCAACGATGGAAGCAGACCACATCCCAGCTGTTTACCTGAAGGGCAGGATTTAGGGTAAGTACCTGCTCTTACGCAAGGAACAACAGACGAACTGAAAATCTCAGAGGCCTTCCCAGAACTGGGGCTAATCAAATGCCAATACCACAGGTTGGCCTCCAGGCTGGAGCTGCTACGGTATGTCCAGGAGTGGGGCAGGTCCTGACTCGGTCACCTCCCCCTCCAAGTGTCTGAGCCAAGTACCCAGCAGGAAGCCTGCTCAGCCCTGAAGCCTCAGCCTCTGTGAGGACTCCGGCTGGGCCTTCTTCCCCTGATAGGGTGGAAAGGCCAGCCCCGAGTCCAGAACCTGTCCTCGAGGCCACACTGGTTTAGGGGTCCAATTCTAGGATCCTAGGAAAGGGGGTCTGGGCTCCAGTGGCGTGGGGGTGAGGACAGCAGAGGGAAGGAGGCCGGGAAGGGAGAGAAGGGGCCCGATGGGCAGTGAGGCTCGCGGGGGCTTCTCTGGTGACCCCACCGGCAGGGTGTGGTTGTGGACAACTCCCAGGGTTCAGGGTCCTTCTGCTGGGCCCTTTGGCGCTGGTGAATACCTGTCACATGCTCGCCCGGATGGACTGACCTTGAGAGTTTGCTGTCACCCGTACTCCACCCTGGCAGGACCTTTCCAAGACACTAGCGGGGACAGGCCAGGCCTGGCCAGCGTCAGGTAGGCTGCACTCTCCGGAGGCTCTGATGGCAGCCACCTTGCCCCAGCTGGGATTCTGCCTCAGTTACTGCAGCGAGGAGGTCCCCACAGGTGCAGGTTCCGGCTGAAATAGCCCTTACCTCCGCAAGGTGGGCGCGGCCCCTGTACCCTGCCCTGCTCATGCCCCCATGCACACCAGCTCCCAGCAAGCCCGTGCCCCTGCCAGAGTCGGGAGAGGAGAGGCGAGACAGGCTTATCTTTCCTTCTTTTTTTTTTTTTAAATAAGATAGGGTTTCACCATGATGGCCAGGCTGGTTTTGAACTCCTGACCACAGGTGATCCACCCACCTCGGCCTCCCAAAGTGCCAGGATTACAGGCATGAGCCACCTCGCCCGGCCCTTTCTTTTTTTTGAGACAGGGTCTCACTCTGTTGCCCCAGCTGGAGTGGAGTGCGGTGCAGTGGTGAGATCTCAGCTCACAGCAACCTCTGCCCAAGCAATTGGGCTCGTACAGTCCTCCCACTTCTGGCTCCTGGGCAGCTAGGACCACAGGTGCACCACCACGTCCGGCTAAACAAACAGCTTTTTTTTAGCAATGAGGTCTTGCCATGTTGCCCAGGCTGGTCTGGGAGTCCTGGACTCAAGTCATCTTTCCTCCTTGGTTGATTTTTCTTTCAACAGTGTGAAAATGACGCAGAAGGCTAGAGCCATGCGCTAAGCTAGTGGCCCTGAGTTCACACCCACTGGCCCTGAGAAAGCAGTCCTGTGTACAGCCTCCTCACTGCTTTCTCTGCATGTGCTGTGGACATGGGAGCCTTGCAGGCACACACATGTGGAGACGCAGACACACACACTCAGACGCGCACACACTTGGACACACGCAGACACGCGGACACGCACACATGCAGACACACACTTGGACACGTGGACATGCACACACATGCGGACACGCACACACACTCGGACACACACAGTTGGATGCATCCAGACAGCTCCTAATTCTTCACGCCCCTGTTACTCTCGGGAGCTGCACAGCGACGCCCGAAGTCGGCCTGTGTCGTCTCTGAGGGTCGTCTTCACTTTCCCTTGCCGAGGGGATGGTGCCCCCATGCACGCTCTGAGCCCCCGTGTCCTGAGTGAGGCCACCCTGCGCTCTGCCCCTGTGACCCTCCCTGCCTTAGTTTCACCCTCCCTGGACATGGAGGCTGGTCCTTCCCTGAGGGGGAGTCGCAAGTCGTTTGGCTTCTTCCCCATCTCCTACTTGTAGCCCCCAGATATGCTGCCCTGGGCCCTGCCTCGGTTTCCATAGGGAAATGGCACAGGTGGCACTCCCTCCCCTGCCGGCACCCTCATCTCTGATGGAGACCGTGGCCTCTCCACCCAGAGGCCAGCCACCTCTCTGAGCTCTGTCTGCCTATGTCTCTGGCTGCCACGGGCCCCACCAGCACATTGGCCCGTTGGCCTCTCAGCAGGCCCTCCCCTCCCTCCGCCTCCGCCTCCCCCCTACTGGCTGTCAGACTCAGACCTTCACGAGCCGCTCCTGGGCAACGCTGTCTCAGCAGCACCCTGGTCAGGGCTGTGGTCAGGCCATGGAAGGGGCCCCCTGGCTGAGACTGTCAGGCCTCCACGTCCAGGCCTGGCCATTTTAGCCTTGGTAACCCACACGTACGCCTCTGGAGGGTCTCCAGGAACAAGAAAGTCTGCAGCAACCACAAGCAATCAGGCGGCCTATATCCATTACTCCTGTTCAGCCATGCAAAAACTTCCCCCCTCGGACACTGAGTTTCTTAAGACCCCCACCCCTGTAACTCTGTAACCTCTGCACCCTCCCCTCTGACTGCAACCCATACTCCCCACCCTATGCTCATGCCTGATTGTAATAAATGATCTCTACCCTTGTCATGCCCATCCCGTGACGCCCTTCCCTTCCCTAAGATAACCAGCCCCCACCCTTGATGTCATGCACGCTGTGACGCCCTCCTCCTCCCCAAGACAGATGACCACCCTTAGCTGACCATTTGCCCCAACCTATATAACCAATCCCCTTTCCCACCCCCTGTGCCTAAATCCTTTCTCGGACTTGGCCCACTTGCACCCAAGCGTGAAATAAATGGCCTTCTTGCCCACACAAAGCCTGCCTGGTGGTGTCTTTACAAAAGCAACACGTGTGACAGAGACCAAAGCCTATACCCCCAAAAGAGGTCACCCTGCCTGTGCCAGAAACCCTGCCAAGCACATTTGCACCCCTGGAGTGTGGGTGCAGAGGCCAGCCACATTCAGCAGTTGCATGTTCATTCCGGCTGTGATTCTTATCCCTGGGCTCAGGGCCGGACCTAGACACACGAGGCCGGGCAGGCGTGACCCAGCAGCCCTCAGGATCTGTTTCCTGTGATCTTCTGACCCTTAACGAGCACAGAGGAGGATGGGGAGGATGGGAAAGGGAGACAGGCCAACGGCGGCCGAGTCCAGCCCCTCCCGACGCTCCCAGGCTGGGCAGCAGCCTCCTGAGCAGCACGAAGACCGCTCTTGTCCTTCCAGCCGGCCCTCAGGGGCTCGCCCCTGCCCCCCGCAGTCGGCCTTGCGGTCACAGCTTTCCTCAGGGACATGTAGCTCTCTCCACCCTGCATGTTGCTGGCGGAGCTCCCTGTCCCCAGATCCCAGTGTCCC